AAAAAATGAAGTTTAGAGTTTAGCATTGCAGGTTTTCATTCCTAGGGACGGCTCGGTTATTTATCTGAACCCAGTCTTTGCCCACTTAATCAAGATTAACACTATGAGCCGTTTATCATCATAAACTTTAAAGACGTTTGGAGAGGCATAAAAAAACAGCAAATGGCAGTCACAGTGCTTTTGTGTTGCGTTTTTCCTGCCTCTGGGTCCATCATCCCAGAACTGGGGCTGGAGGAGCTCTCTCTTGAAAGATTCTCGACTTCATGTAAAGGATTGAGACTTGGAATTCACACAAAGGCTGCGAAACAGCCATACAACAGGGCACCAAGGCGCACAGATTAAAGTCGAGTTGCGACACTGCACTTTAACAAAACTGAACTGAAGGAAGGGAGTTGTATATAAATTCTGTAGCCCGGAATCTGGGTCGCTCACCTCTGGAACTGAAATCACACGCGCGTGAATGAGGAGCTTCCCGTTCCCCACATCACGCTCACGAGAGCCGAGGACAGGTGGCAAATGAGAGGCCACTCAGCCCACCAAACTGCCTGTCGTCTACAGAACACCCACGCAGAGGAACGGATTGTGCGCCAAATGCCCATCATGCAGCTGTGCGACAACGCGATGGACTTTTCTTACGCGGACGTTTAGCTCCCGCTTCTTTCTTTTGAAGCTTTGGAACTGCTTAATATCGAGGCGCCTCGCCGAGACAAACGCGGCGCCGGCGGAGGAGCAAGTACCAGCCCCCCACGCCCTCCCCTGCGCCGAGGCTGTCCGACGTTCGGCCATCTCGCGCGCTGCGAGCCCCTCAGAGCCCACAGCCCAGCTGGCGTCGGGCAGAGGACTGAAGCAGCTCCTGCTCACGATACCGCAGGCTTACCCACGATGGACCACAGGAAAGACGACCGTGTTCTGGCACACTCAAGCCCACCTATCTGAACTGGCCACCGGCACTCGGTCTCCGATGGACAACCAAACCGCCCACTGCATGGTGGGGCTCAACCAGCCACATCACAAGTTTCATCTACCTGCACCCCAGGTGTGCAGCCCATCTGCACAACACTGTCTCTGCTAGCATAGCAATCTTACATGCCCAACCATGCACTCTTTCAGAGGATCTCCTCTGCAGTGCTGCCCGATGCGAGACTGCCAATACAGTGGGATCAGACGAGGTCCACCCTGACTTTCTGAACATCCTCGTTAGGTTAAAAGCTGTTTGTGCCGCACTGTTTCACAAAAAGCAGGGAGGAATAGAGATTGCATTATGTCAAAAGCTGGATAATTCATGTTTAATTAATTCCAAATTCACTGCAACAGTATGCAAGAAAACGACATCACTGCCTGACGCTTCTAGTTTAAAATGCATGATGCTAATTCCCTTGTATGTCACAATTGTGACTGGTAGCTTAAACTATCCAGACACGAAGCGTGTTTGCTGAGTGGGTGTTTCTGAACAGACCAAGCTTTTCAGGAAAGTGCTGAGAAAACAGGGTTACAGCAGAGTTCCATCTGTCACGCGAAATTAGAAATTGTTTTCTTCTTAGTAATATTTCAAGTCTTTTAAAAAGTTTCCCTGACCTGCACCCATACCCTAGGAAACAATCCTTTCTGTGTTTTTCCCCTCCATACACTGGAATTATTTCACATAAAACCATTTGATTTTTTTACACATAAATGTAAAATAGTTGCCGCTGGACCTTGAGCAGGGTGTGAGAGAATCACAGGACCTGCCATTGTAACCTGCTGTGTGACACGTTAATAAAGAGGACTTGCAACACTCATGCAGTTTTTCCCCAGCACCAACAAAACTTTAATATCAGAAAGTGTGAGAAAAAAGGAACATAAGTTTTTCTAACACCACTGTAACACTCTAAAGCTGGGCGGGACAGTTTTCTTTAAAATGATTTTTTTAACCCAGTTCAAGTGGAACAACAATTCTGTGAAAGAACATTCTACATATTGACTTCTGTGGACAACAGAGCGAGACTACAGCCAGCCTAGACCCTCTCATTGCAATTATACAGGCAAACACAGTACTCCAACAGAGCCACTGGAATGGAGACGTACCTGTGGGACGTACTTGTCTACTGGAAACATTGGAAGATGACTTGGGCGTTTGACTTGTCGAAGTGGCTCTTGGAGGGTTTTGAGCTTGAAAGGCTGAGGTCTTGCTTCCTGGAGAGAGCACAAGGAGCGACATTAACATGCTGATGAAGCCCTCATTACTGCTGTGAAATCCATGCATCTCCTCCTTCATATCAGTAAAATGCAGCCAGCCATCATCATTTCGGAAGCATCTCCAGTGAATTATGTACATGGAACCAAATTCATGGCTGTTCTACTATAGGAGCAAAGCCTACAGTATGCATGCATTTCACTTTACCCAACATCTGCACTGTTTAAAAAAACTCCTGACAGTCTTCTGGACTATAAGAATATACTATCTTACACGAACACATTTAAGTACAATAAAAAACACTTCAAACAGCCACATGAACAGACGAATGGACTTTGAATTAATGACAAGAATCCCAGTCTGAAACGGGAAATTTGTACATGACGCAGTACTGGAGTTAAACCAGAAAAAGCACTAGTTTCTGGAGTAGTGCCACAGCGCCCAGGCCTGCATTAGTACAGGCAGGGATGCCAGTGCAGTTTTAAAATGTGGGGTGAAGAGTGCAGCTCCTGGGAAAGCAGGTCACATGACGACAGCTTGGAAATCCTGCCCATCATCAAGCAGGCTTGAGGCAGTGTTGCTTCCCGATGGATTGACAGCATGTCAACACTAGACTGGGTAACTACTGGATTAGTTAATGTTTCATTTTAGCACAAAAGCTATTAATGTATAATGTGTAACATCCTCACTCACCACTTCCAATACTGTACACATAACTAAGAAAGCTAAAATGTTCCTCCATAGCTCCATAGTATGGCTTTTTGTAGCCAAGGACATGCATACAGTAGGACGCCAATGTTTTCACAGCAGGGTGAAAGTGAACTCCAACATTTGCTTGAAATCAAGTTGCCCTGAACACATGAAAGGGATAACTATTACATGTTATTACAGTAACTATGCCTAATCAATGACTTTTTCTACAATGTCTAGCGGCTTTCATTGGAGTAAAGTTGTTGCAATCTTAGCACACAGCAGATTGTCTCCCACCTACAAGAAAAGGCGGTTCATCTTCCCTGTGTGGGTTGAGACAATTTCAATGTGAAACTGCAGTTTTTGGAAGGAAAATGCACCCGTTATGCAAGTGAGATGAGGGCAGATAAATAGCTTGTGTGCAAAGGACAACAGATTTGCACCTCAGCAGTACCAGTTCTCCAACAACCTAGCTAACTTTCAACTTGCATCATGTTCCAGAGACTAACGTGGCACTCCAGGTTATATCCTGCTGAGAAAGCCCATGGCAGGCATAACTGGAAATTACTACTGAATAATTTGAGGGCAGAAAGACTGTACAACAGATACATTTCTTTGAACAGATTCACACTAGCTAACTAGAATAGTCTGACAAATTTGCATATTTAACCATAAACGTACAGACATCTTCAAAATGAGATCAGGCGAGCTTTAAGGGACCTTCTGGAGGGATTAGGGAAGCTTTCTTTGGCGTCTGTGCCACTTGCACAGCATCGCAGCATGTCTAATCATCCACAGCAGAAACGACCTCAACAGCTCAGTCATCTGCAGTGAATTACTCCGAGCTGTACCACGGATGTCAGCAAAATGCAAAACAACCTCTCTTGCCGTTTGAAAGTTGTGGATTCTGGGAAAGGGGAAAAACATCAACAACAAAAAAAAAAAAACAGACCATTATACCACTACAGCTTCCGTAAAGACCCTCTGTCCTGTCTGCCAGACATTTCTTATGATGAATATCTGTTTTACTGTGACCACAGCGGGGGGGGAAAAAGAAAACAGGCGGGCAAAAGACTTTGAAAAGACCCAGAACTGCTCGGGCCAGGAGGATTAAGAAAAATTAAAATGTCATGCTGTTCTAGAAGTCTTTCGCGCACAGAAAAAAGGCTTGCCGAAACTCCCCCTCCTGCAAAAAAACACTCTCTGGTGCAAGGCAGGTGAGGCAAGACCCCCAGCACGTCTCGGCCTGTTACCAGTGGCGGCCCAGGAACCAGAGCAGTGCAGAACGAGCTCCAAACCGGCTCCACGCGCCCCTTGCGCCCGAGGCCGTGGCCAGAGGTGGTTACCAACAGCATGGCGATGGCTCGCGTTAAGGCACTCCAGCCCCGGCACGCAGTCGTTCATAAAGACGTGCAAGTGACGAAGCTGTAAAAGCCCGGCACCCAGCTCAGTGTCGCGGCGCAGCTCGTCGCCACCGGTTACCATCCCTGAGCACTTTACCTTGCTCGACACCTGCGCACGCCTGAGACAGCCGTGGGGCACGCTCAAGTGGTTGCCTGGTTAGGCGCACACGTAAAGCGCGTGATAACGTTACAGACAGTACTTCATTCGCTAGTGCCCTTTTTTTTTCTTTTTTTTTTTTTTTAGTTTTTCCTCACGTGCGTTTCTTCCGTTAAGGCGGATTGTTCCAAGGTTTCGCGGCTCGTTTTGGCCACAGTCGAGACCCCTGTTCCCAGCTGCAGTACGGAGGCCTGTTCGCGGGCGGCCCTTTCTCCGGGGCTTACCTGCTGCTGGGGTCCTGGCGGCAACCAAGGGGGTCCTGTGTCGTCCCCCGGGGGGTCTTCCTAAGGGGGTCCGCGCAGCACTGTGGGGCCCAGCCGATGCCGCAGACTGGGAAGGCTTGTGCTCCTGTTTGCAGCCGACGGGAGGCGCGGCTGGAACAGAGAACAGGCATCCCGTCACACCAATGACTTCCCTGCTGCATGAGGACTAGCAGAAGTCAGTGAGGACGGCGCCCTGCACGGGCAGCACTAACTCAACCAGCAGTTTCGGGTCATTTGAGATAGGCCATATAAGCCTACTGGCACGAGGGAAATTTAAATTAAAAAATGAAAACCCCCAAAACGGAACAGAGATTTGCTTAATACCAGATTTCATTAAAATATGGCATTTTAAAAGGAGGGATTTAACCGCGCGAAGATTCACAGCAGCAAAGCGCAAAGCTTATGGAATTAATATTCCGTACAACTCCAACAGAAACAAGGTGACTACACATTCCGGGTGACAGACAGACAGGGAGGCTGTTAAATGTTAGTTTTATGCTAAAGAATAAACTAAAACATCAAATGCATAGTTCTGACAGAAGACAGACAAGCATTTCTCCCTTCTTATATTACTACCATTAAAACCTGGAAAAAAAAATCTCTTAATCATTACTTTCTGTAAATTAAGGTTTAATCACATACTGCAAATTACGCAATTATTGCAAACTGCCCAGTAAGCCGCTATTTTAAGTGTAAAATTTCTAGCAGTGAAGAGAATGCTACATATCAGAACTGATTAAAAATAGCTGCTACTGAAGTTCATGTCTTCAATTGTTTCATCATCTACAGGGATGCTTTTTGCCTGCAAGACATGTGCTCCGATCCGTTATGAAGTTGTTCCCTTATTTATGCTGAAGAATCTAGAGCAGCAGCAGAAACCGTAATAATGAGGAACAAAAATCACTGCACTAGAGTGTTTGATTCAAAGCAGTAAGTAGACCATGGACATTCTATCAGACAGGCGCAGTTTACTGTGGTTTTGCACGTGATGAATGCCCTTCAAGAAATTACCTGGACCAAGTTAAATCTTTGGGACCAAGTGAAGGTTATCATTATTAACAGCAGAGATCCTGTCACTTTATTTTGTTATTCAACTGCCAGGAACTCTAGTGTTCCTGGCTAACAAAGGAATGACACACAATCTACACAGTGCGATGAGCACGCCTATTAACAAGGTTATTTCACAGCAGGTTCCTGCACCTGCTTGGGCAACCAGGAAAGCATTAACCAAGACCGGTGGAGAAGATTAATCTATGGCACAGCTCCAAACCCCTCCTGGTGACATCACTGGGCAAAGCAGGAAGAGAAAGATACTAGCAGAGGCTCGATGCACTTCAGCCAGGTTTTTTTCCCTTCTTTTATCCTGCCTCCTGTTTAGTGAATTAGAGTGGAATAAATCTGACCTGCCAGGCATTAGTGTGACGCGGACTCACCAGTCAAGAGCAGCTCTGCCCCTCAGCCAGTAATACTGCACAGTGGGGAAGGCTGCTGTGTTCTATGGCCTGTCTGTGTACTGAACCTGTTCCGATACCATGAGTAAAAGCTCTAAGGTCAACCCTGCTAACCTGAAACAACGCTCCTCTTTAATTCAGATGCAGGAGCAGAAACAATAGATACAGCACCGATTAGTTATATCTTTTAAACAAACAGTTTTGGAATGCATCTTTAGAAACATGAACCAGAATTTACTTCCATCTCATTTAAAATGTGACAAAGGCACACCTTTTCACAGCAGAATTTGAAGTAAGAAAGGTATTTAGTTAAATAATATAATCTCTGCACAATTAAATGTTTTTATCATCACATAGAAATAGCACGTTGGATTGTGTTTATGAATTTTTCAGCTTAGCAGGTTTTTAACATAACGCAGTTAGAAATCCTCCACATACCGTAGAGTCTGTTTACAATCGTTCAGATCCCAGCATGGGAAAAGCTAATGTGTTGCTCACATGTGCCCATGGAGCATGAATCTGTCATCAGGGTCCCTTTAAAAATCAAAACTCCATATATTAAAAAATTTGAATAATAAACAATTTATTACTTCATTGTAAAATGGTTCAGGACACAGCTCAGACTGGGTCTAATCTAAAATAATCAGAGTATACAGGACATAAATGCATTTTCCATATTCGTCTTTCCATTTATTACAAAGCAGTTCAAGTCGGACCTGTCGGCCTTCAATCACCTTACAGTAGTAACGATTAACAGTATCAAGCTTCTGTGCAACATAGTTCTCCGTCCTTCAAACTTGACAGCAGAGAGTATTTATCCTTTAATTCAAAACCAAATTATATCCAGATTGATTTGTAATAACATTCATTTTGGAAACTCATTTAGATTTGCAGGTACCCAGAAATGGATTTGAGCAAAATCGATGATTGCTCCAAGATAAAAAAATATAAAAGGGAAAAAAGCAATATACGCAGAATTGTAAGTTTATTGAGCAAAGCTGCATTGTTTTTATAAAGCAAAATGGAATGGAATGGAGTGTGTGGCTTCTTATTTCCACATTATATTTTTGAATATAGTTTTTCTGAACCATTGAATGAGAATTCCAAAATTTACAGGTAAAAGCTGGGGACCTGAAAATAAAATGGGAAAAATACGGCCTTAATCCGTTTACCTACAGGCCTCTTCATAAATCGGGGTCACCTTGTAACTCCTGCAGCAGAGCTGTTTTTAGTTTACATTTAAATTCCACAGCAGGTTGCTTGTAATACAGTAATACAGGATTACACAGCCAGAAGAAACTAAACAAGACAGCCTGTTTTGACATACCAGTAAAGCAAAGCTTAAAAACAATAAAGGTTTATAAGTGAGGTATTCATGCACTTAATGTAAAGTCATTCTGGAGTCTTATAAAAGATATTCAAGAACTATTTTTCAGGTTCAATGTGCAAGCTCTGGAAGACAGTATCACTACTGTGATACTGAAGCACTTGGGTTCATCAGAAACTCCTCTTTGACCGTCAGCTGTCATGCACTGCAATGTCACTCCTGCTACAACCAACAGCATGAGAGATGAATGTCACGAGCACTAAAACAAAGTACAGCCAGTGTAAGATCTGCTGACTGCACAGAAAAAAAATAAAAACGTAGTCATATGTGAGCAATATCGGACCGTAATAACGCAATTCTTTTTTGGACAAGCAGTGCAATGCTGTCATGCAAGAATGCGCTGCTTTCCCTATCGGAATAACAATCATTTAATTACTGGGAAACAATCCCATTTGTTTCGCACTGCCATCTCTCTTCTAGGCACCAGACGGGATTGAGGCTTCCCTGCAAAACAAACATGGGAAATCCTTGCACACTCGCATGTCACTCTGGCTGAAGACCGGCATAGATTATCCCGCGAGCCGTTTATGAGTCATCGTGAAGTGTTGTTGAGGACGAGGCGAATCATTTAAGCATATAACTTTCAACCTCGTCACGTCAAGGCGCCACACAGCCGCAGGACGAGCTCAAGCGTGCTGGAGACGCCGCCGCTGCCGTGTTGCTCAGTTCCAGAGAGCGAAGGGAGACTAAGCCCCTGGGAGTCCGGGGCCGATCCGGACCGCACGACGGACTGCTTACCCCTGCCGTTGCCTGTGGCAGTGCTGGGCTCACTGAGCGAGCTGGCTACCGAGGAGACGCTCGATGTCCTCCGCAGCGCCTGCGGCTTCACGGGCAGTTTGGACGCCGCTGCGGACCGAGCTGAACCGGAGCCCGGGTTCATGGGTTGTCTTGTAGCAGGCGTCCTGTCCGCCACCCGCATTTTCTGAGCACCTACAAATTCATATCGCAGAAGTGAAGGTCAGTTTATTTATGCCCATATTCCATTTGCCTGCTATTTTTGTACCTCCTCCGCCCACTGGCTTGGGTGATTTTTGAGGGGGAGTGCTTCATTTTAAAGGTATGCAGAGAGGTACACGTTTTAATTCAAGATGACCTCACTCATAATTCCACATCACGTCTATGGTCATGCCTGAACGCGCTCCATACTGCTGCAGAATTCAGACAACGCTTTTAAAAAAAAATACTGGAAAGACTACACACTCCAAAATCAAGGCTACACAACACATATACAGATATTCCACTTAAACTAGTGCATGGATACAAGAACAAAAGGCCCTAACAGGACAGCAAGTATTTTCATAATTCCTCATTTACTTCAATAACCTCAACATGTTGGGAACTAGAATGCTTGAGCTTAGCAGGAACTCTTTATATGTCTTGATTAAAATACCAAATGTTATATAAATGTGACTATGGAGTCAGTTTTCAGCTTTAGCACAAATAAAAGGTGGGAGTGTGCTCCTACAAAACTATAACCACTAGAATCAATAGAGCTGGGATTCAAGAGGCCAAGCAAAGCACAGTTTGAACTAGTGTATCTGAACAGGAACAATGTTACATACTCCTTGGCAGATTCACAGTTCTGCTATGCTTCTAATAATTTGTATTGCCAGGTAAATCAAACTTGGAGGCGATAAAACTACTTGAATTGCTACAAAGTCAGATTTGGAGTCAAAACAAAACCCCTAAAATGGATTATTTTATCAATTCAACGTGAGCTGGTTCCAGTCAGGCCTAAAGGCCTCCCTTGCTTTGTAAGCCTTTAACACAAAAGTCTGCGACCAGTAAAACTCCCCCCCCCCAATAAATTTATGACATTTAGGAAATGGCAAAACAGTGCAAAATATATTTTCCTAACTCAACCAAAAAGGTTGTGAATAGATATTACAGAACGGTTTTAACCTCACAGTAAAAAAAAAACAAAACAACAAACTGTGGTTTCCCTTTCCAAGCCTGAAGAGGGCTTTAACTTTGTAAAACATTCAAGCTGTTTCATCGAGGTGGAACGCTGGAGCCGTTACAGAAATACCACCTACAGAACATCCATCCGCTCCTGCCTGGGCATCAGTCAGCAGGGAAAACGACATTCTCAATAACTTGAAGTGGTGCAAGACTGCGTTAATAATACTGCAGCAACGTTCAGAGAGCACAGCAGCATTTGGACAATAATACACATCTACTGGTAACACTTCAGATGCAGATTCACCCAGACGGGAAGTTTGGTATTCTTTCCTCATGATTAAAAGCCACAAAATCGCCTGTTGTGCCCACTAAGTGAAACAACTCTATAGTACAGTATTTTTATTTTCAGGAGTCAAGATAGCCTTTGTCTGCCGAATTTCTGAAAGGATCTTCACAATATCCCTTTCCTCTCATTTGTTCCACTGCAGTTGGCTTCCCATCACAAGAAACCCCCCACACCCTAGTCACTCGCTTTTCCTTAACACTACTAAGAGCAGAGGCAACGGGGAAAAAAACTGTTTCTGCTCCTGTCCTGAGAGGAATACGGAGGTTACGCACATCTGTTTCCATGGCAATGGCCTCAAGGGGTTTACTGAGTCAATGACACGTGTGTCTCAGTCAGCATTGTTCAACGGGAACAGGAAAAGTGCTCTGTGTAGATTACTGGAGCCCGTTAACCACAGGCCACCAAATGGCACATTTGGGTACTGCAGTTAATATTCCCCCCACAGCAAGACAGTTGTCAAAAAAGCACTCATTCTGTGAAGGCGGGGAACACTGGTGATTTATTTGTCAGGAGAAAGTTACAGAATTTGGAATCAAAAGGACCATGTAACCTTGCGTTTTGGGATTAAGCAGAGAGCGTGCTGCTTTTTACTACAACGCGATGTGATCAACACATCCTTATTCACTTAAGGAAAAGGGCAATTGTACCTCTGAAGCACAGAAAACGCTATTTTACTCAGTGTCCCCTTGTGCCATTTTTTAAACGAGACAAGACTTAGAAATAGTTCAAGTAGGTGTTTCCTTTTTTTCCAGCATGGAATAAACCCATTACCTGTTCCTTTGCAATACTTAGAAATGAGTTTTAGAGCAAAAAAATTTTCAAATACAAATGTGTCGATCTGGTCAGGAAATCTGTGTGTTTTCTCACTCTACACATCACTTTTGAAACCAAGCCTAACTTCTCCTGCAGAGTTCCTTCTGGGTTTAACTGCTTTTCCAATTCAACAAATGGGACAGGAACCTTAAGGCTCACTTTCATTTGATTTCCCGAAATAAGCAGAAAAGCAACGACCGTAGACTTTGCCAAACAAAGCTTTTCCCCTGGTAAAATAAAAGTGACAGCTCATGTCAAATGAGTAAGTTACCTTGTCAAATAAAACTCTAGTAGTTTTTACATTTTCTTTCAAATATATTACAGCCGAAAGACTCAAAACCTGAACCCAAAAATAAACGCAAAAGAAATTCAATTACAAGAGATCAACGTCTGATGACAGGCCCCCAATTACAAGGTTTAGACTTTAAGTACAATTCCATTAATACAGGGCAGCAGGCGCTTTAGATATTAGTCAGAGAAAAAGCGTTTCATACTAAAATTCAATTCACAGTGATGACAGCACAGACTTGTTTTTTTTTTTTAGGATTTGCTTCTAAAAAATTAGCTCCACATTCCTACAACAAACTACACCTGCTGAGCAAAGGAGAACTTTTTTTTTGTCACAATTACTTTAAACTTTTATCACTATAAAAACCAACAAATATCAGGTCAGAGATTTCTTACACTGTACACGAAGCGTCAGACTGTTCATACCGCACTAAAGACCTCTGAAACAAAACTTGACTTTTTTTTTCTTCCCTGAACACCCAAGTGACCAGACAGCAGGTGTGCGGGGGTCCTGACGCAGAAGGCAGGCGCCGGTGTGCAAGTCAAGCTGCCGCTGCTGCTGTGTGGCAACACTGAAACGGCAGCGGCTCACATGTTGCGGTGGGTCTTACCAGGTGCTGACAGCGGTTTGGTCCTGGAGGGAGACGCGTTTCCCGGGGCACTGCCATCTCGGCCTGAAGCTCCCAGCTTCGGCTTCGATGCAGGAGGCGGCAGTCGGAGGTTCGCAGCTGGAGCCAGAGAAGACGGAGCGCCTCTCGGTTTACTAGGGTATGGCTTCTGTCCAAGTCTGGTCCTGCTGGCGTCTGGGGCCGCCGACTGTTCAGGAGAAAGGGGTCGTGAAAAGAACACGCTTTTCCTCACCGAGCCCCACGCTAGCAGGCAGAAGTCAGGGCTTCTAATGCTTACTGCGGTGTTGGCCATCTAAACTCAGGCGAGAGGCGCATTAAGCTCACGCAAGCTCGGCACTAAGTTGCTTTTGTACTACTTTCCCCTGGGACACTGGCAGCTCCAGCCCATTTTTTTCCCCTCTTCCATAAACACAGTGCACATGGAGAGTATCTGTGGGCGAAGGCACTTCAGTCTTCTTACTCATGCCTTCAATGGCTTGCTGAAAGTGGAAAGTTTTACAACACTTCGTCTCTCAAGCCACGGGTGGCACGCTGCGTACAGTATGTACTGCAAAGGGCCATTTCCAGCCATGCTTATTTTAAAAGAAAAAGCTTTTTTTAAGCGTACGGATACCAAACATATTTTGCAAAAGGTACACATTTTGATTCTTTGAAGTGAAAATACATCTTTTGAAACTATTTAACATCAGCATAACGCAACAAGCGACCTGCCAAATGCGAGAGTTCGCCTGCTTATTTTGGGACCTTACAGTACTGTACATACTGTAGAGCTCATACAGCTCAATGAAAAGGTCCTTACTTGTTGATCTCCAGTTAGCACCGCAGCATAGTTATTAATAATCGGGTGCCTGAGAAAGCTCACTTTCATACCAGTAAATATTTGGAGTTCACTGCAAGCATTATATTCGACAAACTTACTGAATGTCGCGGTCTGCGTCTCACTGTACATTACCACTAGTAGAATTACAATCGTCCACTGACACAAGACGCTCAAAAGGTACTTGCTCAAGGAAGACAGAAGGAATTGTATACCTTACGAGTAACTGAAATATTAATACCTGCTAATTCGTGCGTGGATATATTCTGCTTAGCTCCTACGGTAGGTTGTCTTCCATTAAAGCTTTGCAAAATAAAACAATCTTATTTTTTAAATTCATTCACCATAGACTTCATTACAAAAAAAAGAGTTTTCAACACCTGCAGTGACCAGGTGCTTGTAAAAATAAAAAGCGTGCATCACCATTCGGACAGCAGGTTAAATACATAATGTAAAACTCGAATTTCTAACCAAACACAAATGCTAACAGCATTGTGAAACAATACAACAATCTAGCAAAAATAAAATACGTCTTGATTAAACAATTCTAGTTCTTGCTTCTACATGGTAAGTCTAGTTTAAGAACTGAGGCTCAAAAGATGAATTAAAAATTTCAGCAGTACGTTTGCAAATGCACAAAAAAAGTTTTGTCTCAGTCTTTCGGCATTAACTTTTTTCTTAAACAAACGGTCTTATGCTCACCGGAAAAAAAGCCTCGCTTTCAAGAACGGGTGAATAAAGGTTTTACATCACTTCAAAAAAAAAACCAACAATCAACAACTCTCCAATACATGAGGGTGGACCGACGTCTTCATCAAATACCAATTTCTATTTTGTCATCTGGAATTTCGCATGATCGGAAAAACAACAGAACGAAACACGTCACGTGGGAAAAATGACGGTATTTTATTTTGAGGTAGAAATGAAGCATTAAAGATGATGCCTTATGCACACACAAACCACGCATTTCCCCGACAGCAGTCTCTCAAACCCGCAGAATTAAAAAAAGACAACACTGGCACCCGGCCAGCCAAGACCAGCACCTTCCTTCCAGTCTTTCAACAGGACAGTGGAAGCGCACCTCCCACCACCGGTGTAACACGAGTTTAGATGGGCGGCAATACTTTCTCAAAAACATTTGCACATGCAGTACACCTCTGGCAAAACAGATATGATGCAACACTTTGCGGGGAAAAAAACTGACAGAATCCAGAGGACGAATGCTGATGTGTCGGACTGCGTCTTACAGAGGACTGTCAAATGAAAATGTATTGTTTTGCCGGCTTCCTGTTTTATAACTTTATATTCCAAGGCTTTGCGTTCACTCCAAAAGGAACCAAATTTCAAGCTTCGCACAGCAAGTAAACCTTGAAGAATCCGAATCCTAAACCGAGTATCGAAATCGTGATTCCCCCTCCCACCCCCATAAAGGTCCAAGATGTTATTTTATCCCTCTGTGGTGCGGAGTGCCTCCGGACCTGACCGCTCAGTCCACACCGCTGCGAGAGTGGACTCGGCACTGCCGTCTTGCTTGCGGTGGGGAAGCTCTGGGAATCGGGTTCACGTTCAACTGATTTCACTGCATCAATTCACTCCACACCCACTTTCTGGTGCACATGGGCCTCAAGTCCACAACATCGCCCACACTTCATGGAGTAGCTTGACACATGGGCAGAGTGTAGGACTGAGGTTCGGACTCGTTCTCGATGTAAGCTAGAGAGGCTGTACAATGGAAAACACTCCTTGGGTATCAAAGTCGGCTAGATTATCCGATTAAACTCTGGGGTTCCTTGATTTCTTAGAAACAGATTTTCCCCCACCTGCTTCGAGATGCTCTCACTCGCTGGGAAATAAGCGCCTGGAAATCAAGCTGGAGTCAGACAAACATTTGAATAGAACAACAATACAGCACACACTACACTGGCCCCCAGCTCCCCTGCAGCCCTGCACTGGGAAAAGCAGCTGGAAAGAGGATTTGTTGTATACGCTGGTAGGAAGAAAAAAGCTTTGCGATTCACTTCATTACTTGAAGAAAAAAAAAAGAAATGCTGAAACCAGCAAATTTTGACATATTTTGACAGCTTGTTCAGTGGGGTCTCGAGTCCTAGACAGCACGTTGCCCCAGCTCATCTCAGAAATGGGGCTCAAGTCTGGCAGGCCCCTGGCACAGCGCAGGAATTTACAGCATACTGGGATTGTGACGAGGCGAGAAAATTGGGGGAACCGCTCAAAAAAGGCCTGGCAGGTGATAACGGAATGAAATTTTACCTGAAGGCGGGAGGTAATAAGCAAATTCTTCCATCTTCTCCTCAGCCTGTCAAAACCAGATTTTAACTTTCATACTTTTAACGACGGACTACTTAAAAGTAATGTTGTGCTCCTACTTTACAAGCACCTTTTTGGCTTGAGCCAATTCTTCCATTTCAACATGATGTTTCCGTTCAGTAGAAATGTTTTCACTAAACTCAGCAACGGGATAAGAAACAATAAACACGCTCTGCCGTCAGGCTGGGGGAGTGCATGGTTTCTGCTTTTGTTAAAGCAGTTATTAATTCACTAGCAGGCAGGGTATTTCGAGTATAATGATTAAACCTGGAAGCTACAATCGCAGATACATTGCGCCTTGTCTTTGACTTAAGTCATACTGTATATCAAGGTTTGTTTTGCTAAATGAGTTTCTTTTAAAACAATATTCAACTTACCAAGTCATATGCACTGCATCACATGATCAATACGAGCGTTTGATTGCGGACCGAAACCGTGCAAAAATCTTGCCTGAGAACTTCAGCATCACCCCACCTTTGAGACTCAAAGACTGAACGGGATTGAGAATAAATCCATTACTGAAGCTGCCCTATGGATAAAAAGGCGAGACTGTATGCAGTGTAGGCATATAATATTCATGATGTATTCGAAACTAGTACTATAAATGCTTTACATATATTCATGTTTTCTTTTTTTATATCAATGTATTGACGGGATGCCATACAATGGCATTATAATCAAACAATCCTCCAGCCTCTAATGACTGATTGCACTGTATCCAAATGCTCAATACCGCGAGGCTGTGTAACACAAAAGCCATGGGGGAAAAAAAAAAAAGTTAAAGCTGATCCGACCACTACTCACAGCTCTCTCAACACGCCTCGCAGATGCTGGAAACGGATATTCGGGGCCAGCTCCATCAGGAAGCTTGTGTTACTTGTGCTCATTCTGCACACACTTTGAACCCAAGAACCGCGTGTCCTTCATGAGAGAAGCCGTTTCCTGTCCATTCTGCAGTGTAGCACTGCCATCAACATGTGCAAAACTAATTCAAACTAAAAAAAAAAACAACTCCCAAGAACTATTTACGTACAGATAAAACTCACAGGTTTCCTTTACATTCCTCATTGTTTTGGTGAAGTCTAATAAAAACTCACACCAGTATGCCCAAAAATAGTTTCTCAGAGCACACAATGACTTGCACAGATAACGAGCTACGCGACAGAAAGACTGACAATGAAAGACGGACTGCAGCAATATCATGCAGACATACTGTATGGTGAACATAAGCTGCACCATAACAACATGTCTATTCGGTGTCTTTATAATTATTGAAAATGATGTACACTCAAAATATTAATTGGTTTTGTTAAAAGCTGCTGCTAACAAACTAGATGATACTGGAGGAAAAAGAAAACCCACCGTACTTACTGCAGATCTCTCTCGTACGTCGTCTGGGGGCGATTCCGGCGAAATGCGATTCTGCGCTGCCTCGGGCACGACGGACGACAGCAAGCCGCATCCCGTGCGCTCCTTCCGAGGCGAAGATTTCGGCGAAGACGCAGCGGGTTTGTTCTGGCTGCCCTGCTTAGACGGGTGTTTGGCGGTGCCGCCGCCGACCGCAGGGTCAGAGGTCGGCGAGCTGGAGGAGTTGGCACAGCCGTCTCTGTCCGCCGTCTTCTGGACACAGCTGGAGGACGTTTTCTGGACCCTAGTGGACATTTCGTTTGAAGCGCTAGCGGGTGGTCTGCCCGGAGCAGCGGAGGGAAGAACCACCTTATTCCGACTTTTCCAAGATCCCGACCCAGAGTTCTTCTGTCCCGTTTGCGGCACGTCCCTGGGAGGGGAGAGAGAGGGAGGGCCTCTGCTGGCCACAGCGGGCCGCGGAGAAGCCTTTGCTCGTGCGGAACTTGAGGTCTTTGACAAAGTGACTGGTCTCGAAACAACTTTAGGCTTTATATTCTTAAAGTCGGGCTTAGGAAACTTCTTAATCTCGGCTTTGGCATTTTTGCTTGCCACCAGTGCAGACGGCTTTGTTCTTGTGGGCTCTTTTGGCGAGGGAGGCCGCTGCTGAACGATCCGATGAGCCGGGCTCCCGAGATCACCTTCGCGGATGTCCGACGGCTGCTCAGAAACGTCATTGTCGAACGAATGGACGCAGAAAGTTACATTCCGGGAATCCGGCTGAGGAGTAGAGGTCTGCACGCTGCAATTGCAATCCGAATCCTCAGAACTAATAACCAGAAACGTCTTGCTCTCCGCTGCCGAGTCTCCTTTGGGAGGAAGCAATATACTTTGCAACTGTTCAGGACCCTTCACCTCAACCGCACTCGCCCAAACTGAGCCACGATCTGCGGCATCAACACCCGTCTCTCCACAGGTCTCCTGTGCTGTGCAGTCTTGGCCAAATAAAGCATTCAAGCCTCTTACATCATTTGTTGACATACGTTCCACACGCGGCTCTCTCAAGTTCATACAGCTACTTGGACTGAAAGATGCATGAGAAACCCTTCCTTCAGTCCCTTCCATCTCACGTGGGAAACTGCTAAAACACTTTTCAAGGGGCAGACCATTGTCTGTGCTTAAAGATTCTCCAGTGCATTCCTTGACTGCTTCCACAGTGCAATTTCCAACGTCCATGCCGTCTCTGACCACACGTCTCCCCTCCAGAGAACCTCCACAAATGTCTGGCATCACGCTCGACAGCCTGCCCAAGTCAGCAGGGACACTGCAAGAGCTGCTCGACTCTTCCACCACAGACAGACTAGAAGGCTTGTCGGAGCCACTTGCATCGAAGCTGCTTCTCCTCACTAACAGCTCACCAGAACTCGGATCATCCAGGGAACTCTGTCCTGTTCCCACAGAGATGTTTTCCTCCTCGTTGGCACACCCTGGGTTTTCGGTTTCAGGAGCGTCCTCTAGCCATTCTTCGTCAGTTTCAGAAATTCGTCGGCCCAAAGAGTAACCTGTGCACCTTATACACACGTCTACGTTGTACTTATTCTGGCCACTGCTATATTCCTGAAAGCCCGACGTCTCAAGGGCAAGATTATCATTCCATGTATCCAATTCCATCCCGAGATGGTTTTGGGGTGAATTTTCCATGGACTCCTGTGAAGACATGCTGCAGCCAGCAGATTCCGAATCAGGTAATTCCACTTTGTCACAAAGCCTTCCAGGTTTCTTTAGCACAGTGGAATTGAAGCCATCGCTCTGAAACACATTGCCATCAGCAAAGTCCTCTGCATGCGGCACCATGCTCAGGTCACACTCAATCATCTCAACATCAGGACTACCTGTACTCCCACTGCTCAAACTACTGATGCTTCTAAAGGAATCTGGAAGAGACTCTGTATTACAGAGGACCTTATTGCCATTTCGATCTCCTATCAGCAATGAGACTCTCTTGCTATTGCAGGCTTCAAGTCTAAATTCCATCTTCCTTTGCTCACCCACATTGTTAACACTCATTTTGCAATTTGCGGTTATATTTAAGGACTTACGAACCAAATTTGTCTTTCAGCTTATAACAGATCCCAGCACATTCAGAGGGATAAGGCCGTCTTGCACACTTCAAAGATCACATTGAAGTTAACCAACGGGTTTGGCTTCTTGGTCACCATCTTCAACTTCATTGTAGCCGTGCCGTGCTCATCCAGGAAATACAAGATTCTAAAATTTCAACATTCTAGATTCATCCCAAATAATCAGCATCTGGATCCATCCCTGGAAAGTAAAATAGAGAAGTTGAAAATTAAATTGGAAAAAGATTAATAAACCCTAAAGTGAATATTTTATTAGGAGCATCTGTATTTTCACATTAAATCTTTAAGTAGAATACACACTGTATTTACTTAAATAAAGCTGTAGAGGTTGACAGTACTTATACCATGGTAAAGGGAGAGTGTATCCTGGAAAAGCACAGCATAAAACAGTAAAAGCAGCAGTAAAAATAAATTGTGATTGACTTTCCTATTGTAAAACCATAGGGAAAATCATGCGAGGTATATTAAAAAACATTTGGGAATCAAAATGTTCAAAGGGTTACTACGAGACAACTATGGTCCAGGGTAAAACACAATATTACATTTTCTAAACACCTTACTTTACATTTGTTGCGTCATGAATCTTCAAATTAGCGAGGTTCCCCTCCAAGTGTTGAATATTTACAAACAGCCTGTATTAAAAATGTGACCACCTTTCAAGAACGGCACATTTGGAACAATCGAAACATTTTTGGTTTACAGGTTCGTTGCTCAGCAATTTAAAATCCAGAAATCCTTTGATGGTAGTGATGAATTGAGAAGTGTTGTCGTGTGACTTTGAAAATCCTGATTCACCCTAGCTTTCATGAATTAGAAATAACCATGTCCACTAAAATGATTTATTGTTCATCTGCTCATTAGCTTGAACACATGTCCCACCAGCACTATTGTGAGGCTGAAGAAAGGTTGGAAGTATCCAACTCAATTAATTCAGTACAAACAAAGGTCACATTCTCAACTCGCCAGCAATCACATAATATAACTGCAAAGACCAGTACAATCATATCACCAGGCGAATTCAACACGGTGTAAAAAATTGACAGGAGAAATTGTGCAAACTTTTAATTAGTTATTAATATTTCACTTTTAAGAGTCCTGAGAGACAGTATTCCTAGGATTTTTTTCTGTTTCACTTCAATACCCTATGAATCTTAATATAATTCTATTAACTTCCTGGAGTGGGGAAAAAACACAAAACAAGGAAACTTCAGGAAAAGGGCATGGCTTGGATTTTTAAAAGATTTCACACAATTGAGAAAGTTAAGAAGAGCACTGGACTTCTTGGTCAGACCTCAGGACAGCACAACTACACGCACATACCTGTTCTAAAGATGAACTTCAATCTTGGTTTAGCCAAATAATGAAGAAAAAAGTTTAAGCCATAGGACCGCACAAAATTGAAAGCTACACCAAGGCAAAATGACAATTTACTGTAGGTTAGAGGTCTCCAACCACATTTCTGAAGAGTTCTACTCCAGTTAATCTTATAGTTCATCCTAAATTAAAGAGTTTTATTAATTGGGAACACGCGTAAGTTAGCGTATGGTATATTTCAGGTCCTTAATGCATTAAACATGACCTAATGTATAAGCAGACTTTAAATAAATCTGGCACCTGCGTAGTGTTAAGGGTTTCACATCAGGGCATATACTGCATTATATTTTTTAAAAATGCACAAAGGAAAAAAAAACATCCAAACACGTCCATTCAGGACCCAACACAACCTAACGATGTCAGTTCAAAGGACAAAAGTACATGAACGCCTAGAAAAGTGCAGCACCAGTGGACGGCTCTTCTCAATAAAATGAGAATAAAACGCACAAAACACACTATCGCCGAAGCATGTGCAGCAGAGCCTCGTACAATTGGAGACATCTTATAAGCCACCGACAAACAAATCCAAAGTCCACATGGAGATTTAAAATGTGAGCCCTGTATTACACGGCATAAATCAATGAAGAAAGTCTATTAAAAACAATCAATTCCCTTCTTTCTTTTCTACACTATTTCGCCCGTTTTCTCTTTTTTGGCGTTTTCTTGTACCCTGATCCACTCTTAAGACAGCCCGAGAAGGTGAAACAATAAAACTTAGCTGAGGAGAAACCAGCCGGTTGTTTAGTCTCGTACTTTTCAGTAACGAGAAAGGCAGGACCTTCTCAAGTTCAGAACTCAGGCAGTTCCGACTTCACTGGGCTACTAGAATAATAAGGAACACAAAGGCCTTCTGTTCAAGATCACTGCACTCACACAGAAGCTCGAGCCAAAACCTCTCGGGCTTAACCACTGTACTGCCTTCCTCAGCCACACCAGCTCAGAACAGGTTCATCACATTTATGGCTGGAACACCAACAAAACCCTCAGCAAATACTTCGAGCAAGACGTTTGGAAGTAATTAAATCACAGTTGGCACAGTACCCAGAAAGTCATTTAAAAAGGCAAAAGCTACATTCTCCTCAAGTCTTTCACAAACAGATTTTAGATTTTTAGATATTTATTTGCTTTGTTGAAATCGTTTAAGCAGGATTTGAAAGTCTGGGATTCAAACGATTTTAAAAGGAGGTTTAGTTTTATTTCCCCCCAGCCTCTCTTCTTGAATCTACAGTCCTGCCCAGATTCGGCACAACGGCATTAAAGTCACTTTTCACACGGAGCCAGGACTAACTGTTATTGGCGAGATGATATAAACCAAGGTAGTAAATATAATGAATTAAAGAAAGCTTTCTAAATATATTAAGTAATGTAGATTTAGAACATTTTCTTTATTTAGGAAATTAGGACTGTATCAACACAATGGAGCCCCTCTCCGGTTTCTTTAGCAGCATGTCACCAATACCTCGACACACAGGTCACGCTTGCCTCTGCAATAATGAGGCTAACTGTGTCATGATACTGTATTGAATTTTTAATGCCTGAAGGAGATGAGAAGTCAGCAGTCTGTGATATATCCATTACCGACAATGGGACCACAACCGTTTAAAAACCGCATCTTCTAAATCAATAAGGAGGAGCCTTATGACCTGGTTACAATTAACAGTTTCATATTTATTTCTATTTAGGGCAGGGAAACAACGGAGGAAAACTGTCTAGCAATGCATTCTGCCCTCTATAACCTCCCCTGTATACTGTGTATCTCCGTTTTGGCATTTTAAGATCAGTATTATAGAACAAACAGCAGTGTTATAACTGCAAGCATAACTGAATGTTGATGCTATAAAGAAAAACTACCACCTTATACAGTTTAAAAAGGTTAGGTCTTTGAATATGCATAGTCTCTACAAAACTGACGTAAAAGTACTCCCTAGAAATCCCTATTAAATTGAATATGCAGTGCAGATATGGATATTAAATATTTTTGAGATATGACAGATAGTTGAGCACAGTGGGTTTGTACATTAAAAGCACCGAACAGCCACTTTGAGCTGTACTGCCATTAGAATTTGAGAAGAAATATTGTATCTTTAGGGTTTTTCGTAGAAAGAGCAAAGCAACCAGGTTGGGGAATTCCACAAACAAGGATTTCTTGAGCTAAGTAAAGGTTTATTCCTTCCGAAAAGAGAAGAGAAACAATGTTTCGGCTGTGGAGGCTTCTTCGGGTGTGCTCCACAGACCATGTTTCTCTTCTCTTTTCTGTATGGAGTAAACCTTTACGCGCTCCTCTGCAGCCCATGCATGCCGACACAGATTCCCACTTGAACTACTTTCTTGATTTAAGAACTTTCACCTCGTAAGCGCTGGTGGAAAATAAAAACTTTCCGTATAATTAAAATGGCCTCAGATCACATTATTAGACAGGCGGGAAAACTGAAACATTAAAATCCACACAAAACCAAAAATAAGTTGGTGACATCACTTTTGCCAGATACTGTGGCTGACAAAAAACAGGTTAAAAAAAAACTGCTATTGCATCAATCCATCATGGTGCACTCCTTCCATTAATATCCTGCTGCTCGTGAGGAAAGAACACAATCGATAACCTTTGGTTTAATGCATTTCAATTGACTATTATGTGCTCTGTTTATGGTTTGTCTTACTAGCCATTAGAAACACTCTCAGTCATTTACTTACATTCCCAGCACTGAGATGCATTGACTGCCATTTTGACAACCTTGCGAGGTGAACCCATCCTATAGTATTAAAAGCTCAGGACAAAACTGTTTGAGCAGTCATAAGCCCTCGTCCACAAATTAATCCGCCCCCCCAGACACACACACACACACACACACACACACACCCTTCACAAGCTCCCTATTAAACCCAAGACTTTGAGGCAATGACATAAAAAATATTCAGGCAGGGATGAAAGAATGCACATCCGGGGTCAGACTTCTCAGTGCCTGATTGACATCCTCAGGTTGCCTGCCATGTCCAAACACCAGAGCTGCACAGTCTATTGATAAACACTGACCAATACCACAACACCAAAAGCCTCAAGAACCACATTCTAGGAGATGACTCATTTAAATATCTTGGTGAATAGAAAGGAAACTATGGGCTCTCCATCACACATTTCCCTTTCTGACCCCCCCATTCTGGTTTTCCGTGTTCCTGATCTCCCGATCGATCAGCACATCTCTCTGGGAATTGTCTGCCGATTTCTCCCCAACGTACAGAGCATTCTTTTTCCACAGGAGCCACGCCTGCGTTGCTGAAGTGCATACCCAGATGGATACGCATACCCAGCCTGGCACGCTTCGACTACGGCGTTACACTTTGTAGGAAAGCACCACACTCTCAAGATGCATCGGTTACAAAATGTTTTGCTGACAAGGAGTGACAGAAATGCACATGGAAAACAAATTGAACCTAAAAACCAAGAGCTGCTTTTCCAAAATCAAATGTCTGTCTGCTCGCATTAAAAATCACCATGTTCTTTTCCCCGGGGGCTCAGTAATTCAAACCAATTCTAAATAGTCAGAAAATAAAGAAGTGCATGCTTTACTGCACTCCTGTCAGATGCAATGAGAGAGAGGACCCCATGTATGTTGCTGTAGGACAAGAACATAATCAATTAGGACTGTTTTTTTGCTTTCAAATTTGAATGAGCATTCACAAAAGTCAGTTTTTAAGGGTAAACTGTAACTCAGGAATTCTTTAAAAAGCAGCAAAATGTTGTTTAGGGATGCTGATACATCTGCACAGCATTTAAAATTGATTTGGAAATGGTTCTTTTAATTTATAGAA